ATAAAAAAGGGGACTGTGAAATGTTACTAGACAAGAAACATCTTAAAGGCACTGGAACAAACATTATCTTTGTAACCCTTCGCCTGGCAGCCAGTCTGGGGGGCGGAAGCACGGGACCAGCACCCTCTCTTCAGACAAAGGCATGTTCTGGGCAGCCCTGGGCAGCACAGAAAACACCTGCTGACTGAATGAGTGGGCCACGTCTGCTTTCTGAGGTAGCTGAAACGAACAGTGACATCATGTTTATTAAAACACTTTGAAAACTATCAAATGTTTTAGTGAAAGGATTCTATTAATTTTTTTAAATTGTAATAGCTTGTTCTTACATCATTTTGTGCCTTTTTCCATCTCAGTTGTAATCCCCATTGGCTCCCCATCACCAATTCACCCGTGTGTCATCACCATAGTCCCATGCACTGCTCCCCAACCCCCCAAATTTTTGATCCCATTCCTCACTCCACCCCTGTAAAAGGTCTCTAGTATATAGTTGCTTATTATTATTCCCCCCCCCCCGGTCCTTTATACTCCTGCTATGAGTGAAGCCATCTGGTATTTTTTTCTTTCTGGCTTATTTCACTAAGCATGATCCCTACCAGCTCCATCCATGTTGCTGCAAAAGGCATGTGTTTCTCTTTTTTGGTTGCTGAGTAATATTCCATTGTGTATATGTACAACATCTTTTTAATCCAGTCATCTACTTTGGGCTTTTGAGTTGATTCCTTGTCATTCCAATTGTAAATGAGGCAGCAATAAACATGGAGTGCAGGTGTTTTTGTGATTCTATTAAATTTTGTGTAAAAGAAGTAACAAAGTTTAGGATCAAATAAATCAAATTCTCAGTCGTGTGTCCTTGGGCTAATGACTTCATGTCTCTGAGCTCCATTTTTTTCACTTGTAAAATGGGGGTGGGAGGACCGACCAGTCACACTGTTGTGGCTGAGTGGACAGAGGTGGGAATGCTCCGTGTGGGATATTACTAGTGTCGGTTATCATCTGTAAAAAGCACACCGTATGTTATCTTGCACATCAGACACTTGCATCTAAACATTTCAACACTGACCAATCTTGAAAATGATATTTTTCTCAAATGTCATTTATTAGAAAATACAATTCAGAGAAAGTAGGAGAACAAGTCTGGGAAGTGAGTGTGGTACAGATATCTGAAAATCAGGGGAACTGAGGATAAGGAGCTCCCGACAAAAGCCAGTAACGCATCTGTGGTCCGTTTCTCTGAGAAGCTCCAGCCGCTCCCCACAGCAGCCTGTGTCATCCTTGGCAATTCTACTATAAAAGAAAACCTGAAACTTCCTTACTGCCCTGTGGCTTCCACAGG